TTCCATTCATGCCTCATGCTTACTGAAGCTAATGGGGCTTAAGAAATGACACTTGAAGAACAGGCCTAAATAAGTCTTTCCTGCTACCAAACTGTGGTGCATTATGATGCATACATATGGAAATAGGGTCTTCCATCCACTTACTCAGACTTTAACTCAAATACTGTGTTCAGTTTCTGAGTACTGATAAGCAATCACTTCTTCACTGTATAATAAAGCCAGTTCAGTAATAGTTTGCCACACCCCCTCTATTGCAGTTGTTGCACAGGATAGAGGTCTATCCAGAGGGATGATATAAAACCAAGAGCTTCAGCCCTGATGTCATCATTGTGGTCTTTCACTGGCTTCCTAGAGGCACATCTGCAAATGACACTGAGGAATACATCTTCTGCACAGTAATGGAAGAACTATCTTTGAATGTCAAGAGAAATCACCATACATTCTGGCAACCCTAAGGTGCATTGCAATAAACTGCTAGGTGGCCTCTGCAGCCTGATATTCATAACGGACAAATTCCCTGTCATTCAGAAAACAACAACAACATCTGTTATAGGGCCTTACAGATAGGACTGAACAACTTGATTTAACTCCAGAGTTCTACTTTGAGCAGATGGTTGGACCGGCTGACCTCCAGAGATCCCTTCCAACTCATTTAAATTATTCTATGATTCGGTTCTATTTTGTCCTTTTTAGAGAGAGTAAAAAGGTTCCAATTCAAAAGCAAAACAATTTCTCAGCTAACAAAGGGACCAATGAAAGTAAAGTTTAACAACCTCAGGAACATGTTTGTGTTTCTTAAGTGTTCTGAGACTGCAAGAAATCCACACAAGTCTTTCCTTCTGTTTGTTTCTGTAATCTGTGGTGTGCTGTGATGCTACAGAGTTGGGAGGCAATAAAAACCACTTCTATAGAGCCATTTTGGTTTTGGACAGAATTAAAAAAAACAAAACCAGAAACAAATAATCTCAGGTGTAAGTAGAATGGTAAGGCCACTGAATTCAGGAATACAACAAAAATTCTGAGCAGCTATTACTCTAGAAAATGAGTAACATTCTTACAAAGTGAAAGACTGCTGTTTTAGTAGTTGTTAAAGTTTTCATTACAGCTAAAAGACACTCTATATCAACATATCATACCGGTTTAAATGTCTACATCTTAAAAACATCTAAAATCTAAATAACGTATTTATTTTACCACCACTGCAACCATCTCTTTTTAGGACCATGAAGTCCATCACAGAGAGTACAAAAAACCTTGAAAATCAAACCAGACAAGGCAAAGATTGCTACAACCAATTGAAATCTTGCTTATATTACCAATGTCCAACATATTCAAGTTTGAGACTCATATTTTTGAATTATTTTTTATGTCACGGAAACTCATACCATTATCAATATACTTATTTCACATGGTTTCACGATATTTTCTTAATTTTTATTTTTTTTTAAGTCACACATCTTAATTTAGGACTATAGAATGGCTGTGTTCCTGTACCAAAAAAGGTGTTGTTTTTAATAGCAAACTACAAAATAATGAGAACATTAGAGCGATCAACAGGGACTCCTGTTTTCACCCACCACATAGAAGACAAAGAGGTCAATTCCCTGTCAGGAAGGATTTGAACTCTGGTTGCCTATCTGCAATGAAAATAACCTAGACGCTGGGCCGTAGAGTAGGCTGAGGTAAATTCTCTCTCAGTATTTCCTATTACAGTTGCTGCAATCTTATACCTCCTACAACTCCCTAAACACAACTTGAGACAGTGCAGTTCATAAAGGAGAAAGGCGTGTGGGTACAGTTCCCAAAGCAGCTGGCTCCAGTAACTGCCGTCTTTCATAAAGACAAGACACAGCCAATACGCTCCTCCTGCTGTGTTCCTTGCATGGTGAAAAAGACTCGCTCTGCGGTAAATTGTCACTAGTAAATTTACAGTCAGTACCTCATCCATGTACTACCGTAACCTCCAAACTGCTGTAAGAGCTTATAGAAGCCGCTAGCTTCTCAGGAGCAGGTAACTGGCTAGATTTCAGTTCCACGTGAGGCAATGGCTCCTGCTGAGTTACCGCATATGCTGTCACTCGGAACACAGATATTTTCTTTTTAAAAAAGAAAAGAAAAAAGTAAGTGTGACAAACCGCCATATTCTGCCCCTCTTCACACACCTTTGCTATCGCTGTTCATTATGTGAGAAAAATGAAGGCAACTTCCGCTGCATGGCTGGGGCGTACACCTAAACACCCTCGTGCATGTGACAGAGCTTGCTCCCGCCACGTGACCAGAACGGACCTCTGGGTGTCCCCCTCATACGACTGGATGTACACAGATTCGCACAAGATGAGTCAGCTGCACAGTCAGCAACTCAGGAGCTCACCTGGTCCATCCCTGGCACGAGGTGACAGTATGTAAATCCATGTAATTTCTAACAGATCTGTGCCATATCTGTCTTTGAAGATCTCCAATTGTGGAGATTAAGCCACTTCCCAATACTGTTATTTCCAAACTATAAAATATTCCCTGACTTTATTTAACCTTAATTACCTCTTTTCTCAGCCACTATGAGAATGCTGACTACCTTATTTCTCTTTATAGGCATTTATAACTTTTGCTACAAATATTACTTCCAGGTATATAACACAGTATGGGATTTAGCTCCAGATTTAGATGTCAACGTTTAAGTAAGTATGGTGTAACATCTACTTATAAGCTCGACATCCAAGTTACCATTGTAATTAGTGGGCACCTAGTTCAAGATATCTACTTTGGAACAAGATGAATATTGCTGTACTGGTCATGATTTTTCCTCCATCAACTATAACAGTGAATTTGGAAAACTACTTCTAAGATGAATTTCACTAGGGGTGCTGGTATTTTGGTCACAGGACACATAATCTTCCTTCTGGAAACAGGCTGGCAGGAAAAGGTCTGCAGCTGGACCGATTGTGCCACTGGGCTGAATCTTGTCTGTAGACTGTGAGTCGCACAAGCATCAACTAGAACAGTGAATTTGGAAAACTACTTGTAAGATGAATTTCACTAGGGGTGCTGGCATTTTGGTCACAGGACACAATCTTCCTTCTGGAAACAGGCTGGCAGGAAAAGGTCTGCAGCTGGATCGATTGTTCCACTGGGCTGAATCTTGTCTGTAGACTGTGAGTCGCACAAGCCGGCCTTACACCTGTGGGAGGCATCAGAGTCTCCTCATCTTTGAATCTTGTCCCTCATTTTTTTCAGTTCTAAGTGCTCAGAATTGAACCTCAGCTCACAGAGAGATGTTAGGCATCTCTAAGCCTTCTACGAGTGAGCTGTCTAGGCTCCCTTCTGTACTCAGTAAGGAAGAGAGGCATCTCCAGAGAATGATTCAGCTGCTGTGTGGGATGAATTCCTTCAGAAGTCACCTTCTTTTCTTTTTTGATGGTAAAAGGAGCTTGGACAACGAGTTGACATCTCACTTCCAGAAGGCTAAAGCTTAAGGTGATCGGTCCCAAGCTCAGAATGTATAAATCTCACTTTTGATAACAAAAAGCATATTGTTAGGTAAACTTAGTATTCACAATTAAAAATGCCTAAACTTTTATTGAAACTTTAAATTATTCCAGCTTTCCATGAAGTTAGGCAAAAATGAAATATAATGGGGAAAGCTAGAAAAAAGAAAACTAGCATAGCCAAGATCGGAACAAACATTTAAAATGTGTATGTAGTCAGGCTGAGCCAAAGCTTGCAGATTTTATGGAGGAATAAGCATTTGATCTGAAAGTATTTGATACAGCAGGGCTAGAAAGATAACCATTCAAACAGGCAGGCTCTTTTTAAGAAGCAAAAGATACCTCTCACAATCCACACCATCCAATGTGACATATTCTTATGTCACATAGCATAATTAAATGTTTATATAGCCTTTCCTCATTCAGGGTGGTGCTGCATACACCTAAACCCAAAAGAACTTAAATATTTCTAAAATTGTTTGAAAAATTCCAGAAGAAAAGATGATTTCCCGTTTTGTAGCCCTTTATTTCAAAAACAAAAATTGAATGGATTTTATACATGGGCTACTACTAGACATGTAGATTGCTCCAAGTTAAAACATTAACAGTGTAAGCATATTTTCAAATAACAGCATATGAATCTGTTATGGCTAAGCTGGAGCAATGTGTAACAACCTATATGCTCCTAGAGGGCAAGAAAGGAAAATCCCCCTTTTGATTTCTGAATCTGATTAGACACTTAAAATTTATGGCATTTTCCTTTAGACTGGAAGACATAAACATGAAATTGTTGTTAGATTTTTCTGAAAAACAGAAGGGTGCATGCAGCCCAGCAGAAAACCAACTTAAAGATTTTTCCAGTGGTTGTGGCCAACTATTCATCCTGTTCTAATTCAAGGTGACTGATAAAGTTTGGCATAAAGCCCATGGTGGCTTTAACATGAGCCAGTATAACTAAATTTTGTGGTTCAAACTACAGTTCAGTTTTTATGACACCATTGCATGGTTTCCATATACATTCATTTCCTGACTCATTTCTCAACTGACAAAGTCCAACAAATGATACTGCAGTGGCATCAGCAGAAAATCCGCCCGGGAACTGTATGTGCTTGAGACCCTCTGACCACACTCCAGGGAGACAACATTCGTAGCCACAAAAGCTGTGTTGAACATAAGGCCAAATCCTGCTTCCCTATTTAAAACTTTACAGAAGTAATTTCCACCAAACTAAAAATTATCTCAGCTTTGGGAAGATTCGGTGTCCCAACATGACTGACTGTATTTTTTGGGTAGCTGATTCATGTCATTTCCCTCTGCCAGACATTTATACATCCACAAGACAAAGAGGAGAGGCAATGTTTCACTCTAATGTAAAGGTGAAGGGAAGGAAGGATGAGTGTAGGATTTAACTTGAATGGTTGTACAGGGTTCATTATATCATATCAATGTTCTACAACTCTGAAGCAGTTGATGACAGTTCCTCCTTAGAAAAAATAGTAAAATAAAAATTTGACAAACCTGTCTTCTTCCAGTAGACTTTGACCTGAAGTTGATTGTCCTGATAGAAAGGAGTTCCAATTTTAAGAAAACGAGTGGGTTTTCTTCTTTGAAATGTTGGGTAAGGATCTACCAGTCCTTTCTGGTGTTTCCCAGCAGAAGATGTCTGTTCCTCTGCAATACAGAGAACAATCAGGAATTATTTATTTAAGTACAGTGCCATATAATGACTATGTTAACAGTGCTGAAATTCAGAAAATAATACTACCCTTAATCCAAATGATCTTATTTCAGTATCTTACCTAAATGAAATTAATATAAAGAACAAACTGTCCATAATGGTTCAAAAGCATATCGTTTGTTTGAAATTCAGTCAAAAAAAATATTTTGGACAGAAAGAGAAAAAGATAAATATATTTTAATATGAACATGCTCTGTAAAATTTCAAAAGAATAATAAGGAAAGGGAGAGTATATCCCCAAGAACAAGAAATGTTAACAACACATTGACTTTGTAAACAGGCACAGTATCTAGCAGTAGTGGTCTTTATATTTGTGCAGTGTTTGAATGTACACAAACTCCAAGGATGGCATTGAGTGTAACCCACAGAGTGCCACATGTGGTTATTACATCAAAGTAAATATAGTCCTTTGGTATGCTATGTAAGAACACTCTGGTCAGATTAAAGATCTTTCTTGCCCACTTTCCTGTTTCCAACAGTGAACAGCGAATGCTTAGGAAAACATTGTAAGAGCAGAATTAACTTTGAGCAATTCCCTTGGTGTTATGTGCCTAGCTTCCAACGAGCAATGGTAATGGGATGTCCTTCATCAAGCATGTCATTTGGCAACAGTTCATCAGCATTTAGCAGGGTTGACAGTATTTCTAGATATTTTCAGTTGAAAAGGCAGCAATGCTGATTCAAACTGCATTTTCATTGCACACTTGCAAATATACCAGTTCTGATTAAGAGGGCAGTATTTGCACCAGATTAACAAAAAAAGCTGTATTTAATTCACCTAAATGAAAAGTAAAGATTCTAATAGTTAGGAAGTGGCAAATTATTAGCTACATACTTGAGAGAAAGAAGGAAAGACTCAGGTTTCAATAAGTACCATGAGTAACATGTAAACTTGAACATTGTGCCTTATATGTAGCTTCAGCTGAAACCCGCTTGCTTTTTGGCCAAATTTTACTTTGTCAATACTTTGCTTAGTCTGACACAATTTTACATCTTCTTTGCTTGTTTTAAATTAAACTACCAAACTTAAGCAAATTCTTTCTCAAGGTAACCATAACATTTATACTACCTAAAAGGAGATCAAAAAGTGATAGAGAGAAGTACAAACTTAAATCTATTAGTTATACCTCAACATAAAGTATTTTAATTTTACTAAATCTCTGCTTTGCTGTTCTCTGTCTGCTCCGCTTCCAGAAAAACCAGGACACCAATTTAGAGTATTTCTATATAAAGATCAAGAGTCTTGCTGCATTTCCCAGAAGTGAAGCATACAAATATAGTGAGGCAACATATTTCTGAGTGTGGGGGAATATAACGCCAGAGGGCGAGGGTCAAAGCTTACAGAGGTCTGTAAGAGTAAATTACTTCAGCGGGTTATGGACTACTCTCTATTCTGACAATAGGAACTGACAATAGGAACAGACACCTAAAAAGCCAGAGCTTAATTCCACAGAGAGCAGAGCAACTGACAGTGGGACTCCAGCAAAATTGGCATGTTGCTTCTGGAACTACTTCCCGAAGGCCATGGAAGTCCCCAGGTAAAGAGGGGGCGTGAATGTCATGTCCTAGATAATATTTCAGGCAATATTTTTTTTCTTTTTCATATTTCTCTATCTGTTTCTGAGTATTCTCAAAAGTACCTCAAGCAGGACTGGCTCTGTACCTAACTAACTTCAGTGAGATTGAGAAGATGAATTTACATCTCTGACAGGAGTAGGCTTTATTTGCTTTTCTATGTAACTATAATTTAGCCATTTTTTTAAAATGTCCAAAAAAGTCCAAATACACTTCTCAGCAGAGTGCTCTATCCACTAAAATGTGTGATATCAATGGTTTAGGCTCAAAGAATCTTGAATCCTTTACTTCATGGCCTTGACAGAAAGGATGCTCAGATTTGTCTATAAACTTATTATTGAAATACTCTACTGTAAAACAAACATTTTAGTTCTCACAGGCACCGATTTGCAGTTAAAAAGAAAATACTGCTCGTTAACTAAATGGATGTTCATAACTTGAACGTAACAGTCAAATACTTGAAGTATATGAGAAAACAAAAATATTGCTCTTAGTATAGTATTACTCTGGTTTAAAAAACAACTATTAATGAACCTTTTAGTCCAAAAAGGTCACCACAGTAAAGTGAAATAAAGCACAAGGCATTAGAAAGTCTATACTAATTAGACATTAGTAGATAGCAGGCTTTCACAGAAACTACTGACGGACTGTTTTCTGAAGTAAAACAATCAAGGAGAGTGCAGATTATCCAAGCAAAATTGTGGAAGGAATTTAAATCTGGCTGTGATGATGAGAGGAAAGAGGTGCCACTGGAGAGGACAGAAAATGATGAAACCACCAAAGTCACATGTGAAGTATAGGGTAAATGAACTCCATTTGGTAGAGGATTTGTAAGTAATAAATGTGATCTGCATCAGATCCTGAAAAACACCATGTTTTGGAGAGGGAAAAGTGAAACAAAAATCTCCATCCCCCAAAACAAACCCATTGGTGATATAGGCCATGAGAGACAGACCATTAGTGAGACCATGGAGAGTTGATACAGCACTACCAGCGAAAGGGTTTCTCACAGTAAGTATAGAATGGTGCCAAAACCAACACAGTCCAATCTCAATTACTCAGCTTCAGTTTAGAGGGCTTTTGTTACATAGAAAATCTTTATTTACTATCATATTTAAAGACTATGATGATCTGCCCTAATGTCAGGACTAGCAATAAAGCCTGACAAACATCAGTTGATTAATTATCCCTGCTCCAACGAGGGGAAATTTTATAAAGCTATTCTCATAGTAAAATGAAAGAAAGAAATTCAACAGCTTGCCCAATGTCACTATGCCTAGGTGTGTATAACGGCACCTAGAATTTCGTCCCAGTTACCAGGACATAGCTTGGCCTCAGACTCAGGTGAAATCCAGGCACCAGCCTTCCCCTGTGGCCTGATGTAAAGTAAACTCAGTTACATGTTCTTTCTCAGAGCTGTGACATAATCTGGTGAAATGCCAGTAAGATGGTTGGACTGAAAACTAAACACCTTGAAGTTTAGCACTGAGATCCAGAACTTCACAGAAACTTCTAATCAGAAGAGACAAGACCGGGGCGGGGAGGGTGGGGGGTGGGGGTATAAACAAAAAAAAAAGGACATTTTTGCTTGTTTATCTAGCAAAATGTGCTTTGTGGGGAAAAAAAAAAAGAAAAAAAAAGGAAAAAAAGAAGCAAAATCAACAAAAAATTCTTAGGAAAATACTCAGCAAAATGAGAACTTCTCTCATAAACACGAATGATATGCTCCTGGTTGAGCTCAGTGGCTGAGTGTACTGGAATTAAACACCCAGTTCCCACTGTAGTTTTTCTTTTATTACATCTCTTGTATACATACAGAAAAGAAAGGAAAACTAAATGTGCTAACTCAAAGAAGCTTTTGATATCATGCACAATCCTGCAAACTAGGTTACTTTTCTAGGGGATGACAGAAAGCACAGGTACAATCTAGGAGAGCCAGTATGGAAAGGGCAGAACTCTCATATTCGCTTACATTGGGCTTCACCGAGGATTTAACCCAAACTTGCCTTATGTACACACTGTGGAGATTCAAGCTCCTATACTGGTATGGATTTCGAGCAAAGACTCAGTGTATTGAAGAGATGAAAACTTGGCCCTCTGCTGTCTTTCAAGATGGACCAAAAAGGTAGTAAAAATGAGCTTAGTATGGGAAAAAGAAGCATCTTTAGGTTTATTTTCTCTTCTTGGTACCTTAAAATGGGAAGTAACTGTAGATATGAAGGTCTGTCATAGCTAACGACTACTTTAAAATATTTTATGTATATCCAAACTGAATATGCTTGCAGAAGGGTCCAGCAACAACAGCAATTGATTAGTTAAGGTGAGAGTAATTACAGTTATGTTATGAAAATGGCAACAAGTAAAGTTTAAACTTTGAGTGTACTTTAAAAAAAAGAATGTAAGTGGATGGAAAATGAAATGGAGTCAGGACAGGATATTTAAAATTATATTCTTTAACATCTTATTATCAGAATTTTGCTGTATTGGTTAATCAGAGACACATCAGCAGTTGGGGCAGTAACTTGGTATTGTAATTATACAAATAGCATTTAACTAAGACTAAGAATCATGGTTTACTTTCAGCTACAGATATGCTTTTCAATTATATTACTTAGCAGGTTTTAAAGAAGATCTTAACAAGAAATAACCTGTCATCTAAAGATCTTAAGATTCTAATTTGAATGCGGGCCTTATGTATGCAATAATTTATTGAGAATTCATTGCTTGTCAGGCATGGAATATTTTAGATTCCCTAATAGAAGAGTTTATGTTTTATATCAGTTCATAGTAGATACATATTTGTGTGGTCCAAGAATCTGAATTAATGGGCTACTCAAAATAGTCAGGATTTTGAAAAGCATTGCAAGCTAAAACTGTCCAGCTAAGACAAAGACAGAAATGGTTTTATTCCAGCCACTGACAAATATGGTAAGTATGTATATCTGGATTGCATTTAAAAAATATTAACACCACGGTCATGCAAATGCTTCCATTTTCATTGCATTTGTTTATTTCAGGTAAGTAGGATCTAAGATAAAGAATTAGGTAAAAACTGTCACCAATTTTTAGATAAGAAATTTAACATTAAAAGGTTACTCAATTTCACTGAGTCAGGATCACTATGATATGAAACAGACAGCTTTAAGAATTTTTTTTTTATTATTTTTAATCATTATATAAAACATTCAAATTCCAGATAACGAAGAGATAAAGCATTCAGGTGTTTTTATACAATTACTCACTATTATTCCTGGTGTCCTGAGTCGTGCTAAAATGGAGAGAAACCTTAGCACTTTTTAGGCGTATCTGACCCCAACGTGTTACTGCCTGCAGTTCTACATTGTAGTTGCTGTTGGGTTGGAGTCCCTCCAGGACCACATAATTTTGGGCCTATAATAGAGGAGAATAAATATACAAAGTAGTTATAGTATTACTGAAACACAGGCCCTTATTAAATGCAGGCCTGTTATCTTAGGCACACTACTCTCTTGAAATTATAAAAGAAAACTCCTGTATAAATTTCAACAGAGCAAAATTTCCTTTCTTTAAAAAATACATTTTATTGGACTCTGTTTTTCTGTGTCATTTTTTAAATACTAACGTTCTTGATGTTTACATAATTTTGGCAATTATTTGGCAAATACAGACACCTATTGTTTAGGTCAAAACTAAAGGGTCTGTTTTACATATAACAAGTTTTTTTCTTATGCCAAAATTATTTTAGCCAAAGAAATTTAAATGTTTTATTCCCCAATTTCTGTGTTAGCAAAGCAATTGAAAACTTTTTCTAGAGAAAGTCAGTCTGAAGACAGCTAAAATCCTACATTCAGTATATTTGTCAATACTTTCTATTTGTTTCAACTGTTGAAAACAAAAATGACCCCCTCCCCCAAAAACCCATAACCAAAAATACCCCCTCATTGGTTAGAACACTTTTCCACTATAGAATGGAAAACAGAAAAGAAAAAATACAGTTTCCATTGTCATGGAAGTGTCTTAAATGGGGAAACACCAGAGCAGGATTATCATTCTCTGGTCAATAATCCATAAATTAAGGTAAATCCCATGATATTGCAAAGAAGAGCCAAGGCTTCTCAGTATTCTTACATTTCTAATTTTTTTAATGTATTTATAAAAAAGCCTTTCTAGACCACATCTCAGACAGAAGACATTACTCCATGTTTCCATTAGAATACTTTGTGCCTCTGAAGTTTGACAGTCAATCCAGAGTGAAAAAGATAGCCACGTACTGGCATATTTAACACTTCAGGGATTGTCAAAAGCATTTCACATCAATTACCTTTACTTGTTTTGTGTTGAGATAATCATAACATTGACTAAAATGCTCAATTTTTTTGTGTTAATACTGTAGTCAAATTATTTGAAGGTCTACCTGGAATGATTTCATATGGAAATAATTATAAAATTATTTGGACTAGACTACATCTAAAGGTAAAAACTGGGTAAAAAAAATCTTCAATGATCTTTAAAAAATAAGATTTTTCCACCTTTTATTTTTTTTAAGTTTTCTGCAGTTTCAATTTTTAGACAGAAGAGTTGCTATAATATTCAAAGGACCATTAATTAGCAACAGTTTCAAGAGTGTCCTGTGGGGGAAGTCTGAATCTCACTGTCATTGCCGCACACTTTCATGACATGCTGCAGAAGAAAAAGTCCAATGAGACAGGAGTAATATGAAAGATTTATCTAAGAGCCTGCCTTTTCTCTAAAATATGCCTTGGCTCTTCTGGATTTCCCTGTGTTCAAGGTCAGAACTTGGTCCCAATTACTGTAATGTTGTCTATTGGATCTGTTTTAACATATTATACGTCGGAGGTACCCACCATGCAAAGTGCCAACACAACATTAAGAACCCAGCTCAATTTTAAAATTCTCTGGGTTTTGTGATTTAAGGACCAGCTTGTGGAGAGAAAGCTCCTCTGTGTCTTTAGGCTGTAGCCACTGCCATGAAGATCTCTAGCCAATGGCAGCTTTCCTGAGAAACACAAACTTTTGTACCTAGCACAGTCCAACCCTACTCCTATCTCGCCAAAGTGATTTTTTAAAAGTGCAAGAAAGAACTAACTTTCTTTTCTATGCATATTTGCTTTAAAAAAAAAAAAGTATTTAACTTATTTAACTGAAGTAGAAACAAAGGACCAAGTTATCTCAGCCCCTGAAATTACTCCATATTGTCTACATTTGCAGGGGAATTTCCTTTTCCTGCCTGCCCAGCCCACAGCTGGTGGTAGTGGCTCTGCAGCCTCCGGACCCTGATCACCCATCAGTTCCCATGAGAAGGCACGGGTCCAGCATGCTCCCATGGTGGCATCTCTGCTGTGTCCAATCTGCTGTAGATGAACTCAGCACACAGCCTTCATTGCCTTTATTTCTCTCAGGGTTTGGTGACTGAGGGACAGAGAGGGAGCTATAACCCTCCGGCTGTCATTCACCACACTGCAAGTGGGCAGCCAGAGCCAAAACACAGTGTTAACATAGACATGGGACCAAATTCTCACAATGCATTTATTAAGAGCACTGAGGATTAAGTTCAGCCTGTTATCTGTAATCGATTTCTATTTCTATTGACTACTTTAAAATAATATGCAATATGCTTAAGGATATCACAACAGATAGTTTTCCAGTAAAGCAATATTTGATACATCCTTCAAGAAACTCATAGGAACTTGCTGCTATGGAAATATGTCAGATCTTTAGTACAGCAGCTTATTTAAAGAGTTTTGGGTTTGTTTTTTCCTTGGACCTATACTGACTATTTAATGGTTATTCTATATGACAGTGTCAAAAGTTTTATTTGCATAGTGAAAGAACAATGTGACAGATAATGTTAGGCTTTTTAAATAAAACAAGCACTATATCTTTAAGAAGCAATAATAAAATAAGCCTGAATTTAGAGGACAAACAGCATTTAACTTTCTATTCATCTGTCCCGCAAAAATCTTACAGTATTTACCTGCATTTTAAGGCAGAAGTATACTTCTCTCCCTGAGCTCAGTGAAAGATAGAGATTGAGAGATCAAAATTGTCTATGGTGTTGGTGATATTAAAAAGTAAGACCACTACTTTACCAGCTGCTGAAATCATTGCAGTTTATCACATATTTTATACTTACACTCTATTTTGTGCCAGAAATAAGCCATATTTCTGTCTCATTTATTCTTTTCTTTCTTACCCCATCGGTAATCTTCCTTCTCTTTTTTTTAGCTGGGATTACATATTTGCTATATGTCCAGCTCCAGAAGACTTTGTAGTGGTGCACTGGGATATCAGGCTCTTCTGGAAGATCCCAAGTAATCATTACATTTACACTTCCATCATTGTTTGCACTGATATTGGCAATTCTAATATTAGATGGAGCTGGTGGAGCAGACGGATCTGGAATTTAAAACAAACAAAAATATTCTAAAGTAAAGATTATCTTCAATAAGGTAAAGATCATCTTCATCTTATGTATTTACCAGGCATATACGAGCTGGATTAAACACTCTCAACACACTGAAGAAAATTCAGGCAAAAATTTCCCATAAGTGATATGGTTTCTTGTAAATTCTAGAAATACAAGCACTTCTGAAATAAAAATTATGGGTTAGCATCCAGTTTTGTCATTATTCCGTGTTGTTGATAGTTCACAAATATTATGAAGCTTTATCAAAATGTACTAGACTATCAGTTTTACTTCTGTCATACACTACTTTAAATACATAGTGAGTGTAAAACTTTCATGTTCTACAAGTGGCCTTCTATAGTCATCACAGAATTGTATGGTGGAAACACTGAATATTTTTTCAGTGTTGCCAGACAATTCTCCGATGATAAAATCATGTTTCTACTTGTTGAATCTTTCTTCAAAATTCTAGTATTGATATCTACCACCATAGGACATAAACACTTCCTTAGAATAAATAAAGATGTAATAATATATTATGACGTTATAGAAGTCTATAGGGTTTTTTTTAGAACAACAAAAAGCAATTAGCTACCCCTGTGATTTATTTCCCTATTCTGGTTTAATTTCTCGTCAATATCAACTGAGATTTTATGCCTTTAGTTGTCTTTGTGCTGACCCTAGAGTCAAGAAGGACACCTGACAGTCAGAGGTTCCAATATTGAACCTTTCCCAGTATTGAATGTTAGGTCCTCCTTGTGGACCTACTATATTATATCCTGCCCCTGAGTAATGTGAATCAATGGAAATTTTGCAACTGAGTTTCTGAAAGTCCAATTTGCTATTTACTAACTCCTACTTTTTTTAAAATGCCCATGGTAGCCAAACATTGGTGACAAAATAGAAGGAAACTGCAAAATCAAAATTTAAGTAAAAGTAAACAGTATGACTCAAAAAAAATTTACAGTATATCAGGCAGAATAAAGGAAATTCATAGTAATTAAGGCATGTTATGAACCTGTAGCCAAGAAAAAACATTAGAAAAAAACTTTTTCATATAACTTTTTAGCCAAATGAGCCATCACTTATTTGCCAGAAATAAAACTGGAGGTGTGCAGAGGGGACACCAGGTATTCATTTACTGCATGGTTCACCTACACCTTTTTATAATGGTAAATGAGCTGTTAAATAAACTTTCCAGGCATACTAAGTTCATCAGATAATCCTTATGGCAAACGGTCTCACTGAAAAATTCCATCATTTAGGTCATGCAAACTGACACATTCAGAATTAATAAAGACAGCATTTCCTTTTTAAAGATCAGCAGATGTGAAATAATGGCTTATTCCTGTTATTTAACAGGACTCTTGGTTAAATAACAATGGATGCTCCTGTTTCCTCACACATGCCATTTTAGTTAAATAGTAATGGATGCCCCTGTTTCCTCATACACATAATTCAACCTAACTTTTGCCTATAAAAGTTACAAAGCATACTTGAGTTTAAGAATTCTGGAAATTTAACTTAATTTTCAGAATAATGAGAATTCCTTATTTTTTCTCACTCATTTTTTTAATCAGCTTGCAAGCCAGTTCCCTTTTTTTTCTTCTGGTTTTGGAGAAGCACTGTTCTTACACTTATTTCCTTACCTGGGAAGTAGCCAACAACTCTGTCTTAAAGTATACAAAGCTATTTATATCAGAGGGGATAAATTTAAGAGATTAATTTAGTTAAGTGGTTTGTACTGCTCTTTAACATAACTTCTCATTTACTTCTATAGTTTAACAAAATAAGTAGATATAAATTGAAATTTAGGTACAATAAATATAAACAGAATCATGATTCATAAATCCAAAATCCTTCATCTTCACTGATTTAAAATGTTAGGGGTTTTTTATGTTATATGACAATGTATTATGGCAATAAAACATTTATAACCTGAAGTGCAACATGATCATATTACTGTAGGTGAATTATTCAGGTTATCTCCCAGAAGTACTATGCATCATGTATTATGTATACATTACATATTGGATAGAATTAAAATGCTTCAGAGAATTTCTTCACAAATGGTCAGATATAAGCAAAAACAATTCTAACCATAAAACGTTTGTCTTTATTCTGCATCTATAAAAGACTCTGAGAGTCATTAAAAAAAATCTAAAAGTTAAATGAAATAGCTCTTCTGGACAAAATGTATTACATAATTAAAAATATTTTAAAGTTCTATTCACCAATTTTTCATAGGTCTAAAAACAAATGACAAAATTTATGTTCTTCCTTTTCAAATATTTCTGTCCCCATAAGAATGCAAGATAGTGTGCAATTTTCCTTGTATAAAGTTAGTGATTGACCAGAACAGAGGTTTTATCTGTCTCAGACTCACAGGAATTTGGGTTTTTTTAAGGTAACTTCAAACATCCCTGTTTTTCCCAGGAACATAAGCAGGAAAAGAAAACAGTAAGGAAGAACTATGTGCATATTGAAACCAATAGTTCATTTATTCTGACGTCTATAGCACCAGCATTTCACCCTGTACTTCTTATAATTGCACAGTTTATTGAAAAATTTATCAGTAGCATTTATTCTGTGTTCACTAGAAACAGTCCAGTCAGCAGACAAAACGCTGATCCATATTTAAAAGAAAACCTAGTAGTGTTTCTCCTTTGCTATGGGAGAATGTAAACATTGTATTAAAAATCATTGGGTAACTACAGTTAAGGAAAGAAAGACCATCCTCTTAAAGGGAATAAACACGTGAAATAATACAGCAATAGCAGAAACATTTTCCTGAGTGCTCCCTTTCTTCAAAGTCTCTCTTTTTCAAGCCTCGCAAATGTCGTCCACAAAAATGCCTTTGAACAGGAGGAAGAGTGGTGGTAGTAGCAGCAGACAACAGAAAGGAAGGAGATCTACAGTTGACAGACGTGAAAAGGCAAGACATTTGAAAATGCCACATTTTCTAGAAGAGCTTTTTTAAAAATAGTAGACTTAGCTGGAGAAAATAATAAACCAGAAGGACGTAAGATGTCAAAGATGAAAAAAACTTAATTTATTACTGTTTTGCATTTAATCATCTGAAAAAAAAACCTGTCTGATTGTAGAGACACAACAGTAAAACATTTCCTGGATTTGGGGTGTATCACCTGAAATATGAAGCCACTTAGTGAGCATGCCAGCTGAGGATCTATTCCATATTAATTATTTCAATACAACTATATAATTTATTCATCTATTTCTATATATTTCTGTGACACTCATCACTATTGCAACTGACAAAACTATCATTTTGTAAGCCAAAAAAACAAGAATATTGATCTTTTCTTTCATTTGAAAGGATTGAGTTTCACCAGCAAAACAAACAGGTGAGAAGGAATAGCAGCAAGGCAAGATATTGTGATCTCTGGTATTAACAGCAAAAAAACCCAAATGACACAAACCCCACCCTCAAAAACAAAACAAAACAAAACAAACAGGTGAGAAGGAATAGCAGCAAGGCAAGATATTGTGATCTCTGGTATTAACAGCAAAAAAACCCCGAATGACACAAACCCCACCCTCAAAAACAAAACAAAACAAAACAAAACAAAACAAAACCCCCCAAAACCCCCAACAACAACAAAAGAAACCAGACCTCTCCAAAGCCCCCTCTCAAAAAAACAAAACCCCCAAAAAACCCAAAACCCAAATAACTGTTAAGTATAAGAGCATGCTCCTCCATAATGCATGCCTGCCAGTTACCAGATAACAGATGAGTTGTTTTTTTCTGATTTTTTAAGCCTTCACTACTGCATTATTGAATGGAAAAGTCATGCTGCTACAAGGTGCTCTGTTATGCTTATGTCTATAGAGACATTAAAAGCAGTGTACAACTCATGCTGAAATACTTCAAGGTCTAATAACGTACTGGATTATAAAGCTTATATACATGAGGTGTTTGTTAACCTGACAATGAAGCTAAACTGGCATTCTGTTAACTATAAATCTAACAGCCATTCTGCTGTTAGTCTTCATATATCTGTGATCCCTTTGACAATTATACATTGCCCGCATGTATAATTCAGATACATGACCATTAAATGGAATGGAAACTACTGCCAGTTTTTCAAATGTAAAGTTCTGAAATTTTATATACATGAATTTATCTGAGTGTTAAATCAAATTCTTTGGTTTGCAGAGAGAGTGATGCTAGTTGCAGCTTTTCCTTTGCAGTTTATACTACCACTCAAAGAAAATAAAAGTCATTATATATATTCTAGAATTTGGCACAGAGAGCTGTCCTCAAATCCAAAAAAGTTCTGGTCTCAGCAGCCTGACAAGTAAATCACTTCTCGCTGCTACAAATGATAGCTTCATTAGGTCAAGGCTGAAGCTGCTGTTCCAGCACATGGAGTAAGTACTGCATTTGTCTGGATTGTATCTGGCTTGAGTATACCCAAAGGACTTAAATTCTTGTCTTGCTGGCTACTTAGCCATCACAAGCAAAACTCTGTTTCCAGTCCCCAAAAGGGAGGATTCCTTTCTGCAAATAAAAGAAAAAAAGAAAACCCTCACATCATCGCCATTTCAAAATGCACATCCTCCCACGCTCATATTTGTAAACATAGTGATAGGCAATTTATATTTTACAAAATTCTTTCAATCAATAGGATCTGGAAGCACTTTGCAACCTTAACAAAACAGTATGGGCAAGCTATACACAAGAATCACATCATACACTGCTGCAATGCATCCACTTTGGCTTTAAATGTGGCAACTGTAATGAAAACAGTAAATGATTTGGAATATATGTCAGAGAAGAAGACAATAACATTGGAACCAGAATTCTCATTCTGAGCTGTAAAAGTGATAGAAAGTTTGACTCTAATTTAAACTCTTTTTTATAGAGCTTTTTTTCCCCCACTTAAAATGGATCCCCATTGCTATCTTTTAAACATTAGACCTTCCAACTCTAAAAATCTGCTGAAGCTGCTCTACAGACAAGTTTCCAACCATTAAACAATTCCAAGGCATAAGCGGGGGGACTGGCTTTGCCCAATGGAAATGGCACACATAAACCAGCTGTGCAACAGCATAAAAAAATCATTGGTCCCAAAGGAGCAACAGAAAGAATTTTATTGCCGGGAGTGGGTGTCTGTTCTGGTTTTACTAACACTCGGTAATGTATGCATGAAATCACATCCAGCATGGTACTTATGTGCTGTGAAAACAATGTAGTCTGCTTCCTTTTGCTTGACAATTTATTCTGTGTATGCTAGCAACTGCCTTCATGTTGAAGATAAAAACCTTTAGCAGAGGTAGAAGGATCGGATGGTTTGGGCTCATCGTGTTCATCTTATAGCCTCTTTTTGTCTCGGAAAATGGCCCAGTACCTAACTACAGACCAGCAAGATAATGTATTATATGGAAATGCCTAACACTGATCCCTCTAGTTGACTGCAGTCTCTGTTACTAAGAGTTCACTCTCATCATAAATCATAAAAAGCTAGAAAAAAATAGCCTAAAAACTCTTACCCAAATGCAACAAATTAAAAGTTGTATTACTAGTGCCGAGCAGCTTCTGACCAGTTGGGTTAGGCTATGTGGTGCCAGCTTAATGGAAGAAAAGCACAGGAAGCTTTTCATCCAAGGAGACTCATTTACGGATTGCAGGAACAGTTCCATCCTGCTTCTAGAAAAATGAAACAGCTTGGAGAGAGCCAGTCAAAATATGAAGAGAAATATATTTGTACCTTTGGGGATCAAAAATGTTCTGCCAGGCATTCTGTTAGCTTTATTTATTGCTGTTATTGCAAATTGTTGCCACTCAGTTGAAGATGAAAAGGAAAGCACACACAATTTAAAAACCTTGGAAAGTGAAGTGGAAACCACTGTCAAAATAGCAGAAAGTTTTGATCAATCTTAGCTGACAGTATCGATACATGTGCAGAGTCCTACTTCTAGGAAAGAACCCACTCTCCTAGGTGCAGTATTTGCTTCATCTTCTAGCCACTCTGCTCCAAACAAATAGACATAGTCTAATATGTGGTCCCTGCAATTTTGGAATCACATTTTGGCAAAATGAAGCATCACTTCTTTCCCTGTGAAGGGCCATGACAGACAAGCACAAGCAAACCCTTCATTTCCTTTATAAAAAAGAAAGAAACAGCATAAGAAAATTCCCTCCGCTTAAGCTCTGAATATTCCATAAATTATCTCAGCTATGTCACTTTGATTATTTATTATTTACAGATTAATGCCATAAATGAACACACGAGGCAGTGTAAAACAGTTAATAAACCTTCACCTCAAATGTTTACAGTATACGAGCATCAAAAGCTGCAGTAGATAAAACCTCAAAACACAACTAGATGAAGAATTGTAAGCTGGAATGTTTGATGAAATACTCTTGTTTTCCTGTTTTTGTCTTTTTCATGAATGGGAAATCAAACTAATTTGGATAATAAGGAGCTTTATTTAGTGATAGAAAAGTTAATGGAAATTACATACCTCCGAAGACTTAACATTATTTTGAATAAAACAAAACCTTACTCTGCTGTGTCTACTTAGAGATCACATTTTTTACATTTGCAAAAAACACAAAATAGTATAAAACAGTGTTGTGGTCACTAGACAAAATTTTCTCTCCAAATAATTACAGCAGCAATGTTTTTGAATGTTCTTTTTAACAGCTTAAAATATTTAGTGACAGAGACTTTGTGGTGCCATACTCCTCCCTAGATTCAGATTATATATTATGTTTGTCCTCCTTTAAAGAAAAAACAAACCCAAATAATTTGCTATTCTTTATAACTTATGAGCAATCGGTAAAAGTTCAGCATCTTGTGTGAGAAACCGTCTTAGGAATTGCTGTCATGTTTCCTGATCAAAGGGTTTCTTTTTGAAGAAAACTTCTGTAGGGTCTGATGAAGATAATAATCTTCTCTTAGTCTTGGCATGACAGGGTGAATTGAAACCGTACAAGAACTAATGTGAATTTCTGTCCACACGTCACACAAACGTAGCACAGACAGTCAGCAATGTTCTAAAGGTGATGTGCCAAAGTCCGCTTTCCTTTTCCAAACTGGAGGTTAAATGAGCCTGTAGGAGCTCAGTGTGGGCCAGTCGATGCTGGCAGTCAAAAAACTAGGCACATGTGAGCAGCAGTTTCTTGCCTCTCTGCCAGGCAGGGGCCACCACTTCCCACTGAGCTCCAAAGTAGTAATTAAATGTCTGTATGACACTATAACTGTTACTGCTATGAGCGCCTACTCAGGGACATGGAAGCTAAGAGATACTGATTGAAGCATCCCAGTATCATTCCCGACAGTCACCACCTAGCAGCGTCTTCATCTGTGTCACCCAGCGCTTCTGCACATTTCATCTGGCAAACATGGTATCTTTATAATAACCACGGACAATACCAAAGCATCTAAAATAGTCAAATGAGCTGCCAGAGTAGGATGATTTTGGCTATGAAGCTGATAGCTAACTGAACTCCTTGCTGTTTGCCTGGCAATTCATGATTCTTTGCCAAGGGCTAGAGTTTAGATTTGAAAATTGTTATTTTGAAGGTTGTAGAAGCCTTTTGAACAATGCTGGCCACATACTTTCTGCCATTATCGAGATCCCGTTACTTTGGTTTATTAGGTAAGAACATGCAGAGGCACTACTGGCTCCTGCTCTCCTTGTCACGAAGTCCTAAAAGTGCTCCCCACCTCTACCAGACAGCCGTGAGCAGCACTCAAGAAGAGCAAGTGTTTCAGGGGTAGCTGCAGAGACCACAGAAAAAGAGGACTCTGGTATCTAACATGTAATCGCCTCAAAACCACAAGCTCCTGAAACGCAAATCACTGCCAGCTGGGAGGCTATTCTGAAGAAATATCCCTGTGTCCTTACCCTGCTCTTATGCTGTTCTCCAAAAACCCACTTTTGGCCGGGGTCAGATACTGGGCTAAAGAGACCTTCCATATGACTTACCACGGATGTTCTTACATTCATTATCAATGTAGGTATTTTGAACAATATACTCCTGTGGCTAGCACACTCAGTAGGAGATGAATTTTTTGGAAAGTAATACAAATCCTGCCTGAAAATGTCACACTCAAGCCAAAACCTCAGTGATATCATGATATACCTTTATGTAATTGCAATTATAGTGGTTCCAAGCAGAATAGTTGGAAAATCTTTGCAAAGTCGGTAAACCAACTGACAACGATCTGAGTTTAAAAGAAAGTTGGTGCCTGATTCAGCAACACAGTGCTGTATCTGCTGAAGTGCTGCTTATGAAGAAAAGCAAAGAGAAAGCTACTGCTGCTGCTGAGTCCTTGCAGTAAGCTCAACAGAGCTTGAAGGAACTGTATTTTTGATGTGACTGAAATGATATGCTACTTAAGTATAATAAATTCTTAAAATAATACTTCTCTTACGCTTGAAAAGGTTTGTGGTCACAGCAGTAATGGGATAGCTATGCCAACCAACCTTCCTACCACAAATGTGGTTACAGCACCAAAAAATTATTGAATCTAAGGTATACTTATTCAGTAAGTAGTTAAATCATCCATACCAGCAAAAGCACTTGCATGCCTCTATAACTGCATCTACAATAAGATTTTTTCTAGGACTGACTATGGCCAAACAGCAAGCTAAAAGCTAGCACGGGAGCCCATAGATGGCAACTGCCTGTATTGCAAGATAATTCTATCTGCAGAAAGAGGAGGAAATGCATTCCTCGAAGTATGCGTTATACCAATGTAAAGATTCTGCCACTACTAAAACAAAGACAACTCTGTCTATTAGAAACTACCTCTATTAGTAGAGTAAAGAGTGATAGATCTCATTCTTTGGCACTAAAGTCAACTAGCACGGTCTGGCTATGCCTACATTATCGACTGCCTTTAAGAGAGGGTGACCACATCCACACCATCTGTCTGTTGGAAATAGTTTCTGGCTTGTGCTATCTCCTATACTATGCCTGAGAGTCACCCGGAAAAATTCTGCTTCGCATGGCTCAAAGCACACCAGGGACAATGCCAGCAACTTCACAGGATGGGAGATCCGTTTCCATCTCCGCCATCCCCCAAGTACCACTTACTGGTACAGAAATAATTTTCAAAGTTATTTCATTACCCAAATCCTTGCAAAACCAGAAATGGCAACAAAAATTCCTACAATACTTTGTGGATTGTCCAGCATGCCTTTCTAATGAACAGAAAATGCTACTTAGCATTTATACCTTTTTTATTCTTAAGCCCTTATGATTAGTGTTAGCAAGGGAAAAGTTCTATTAAGAGAGCCTGCAGCTCCTCAAAACAATGCTGCTACCATTATTTAGATACAGGCAACAAAATATCTCAATACTCTGCTAAACATATGGCAGCAACATATTTCTCATAACTAAAAAGAAAAAGAAGAGAAACCTCTCAGAATAACACACTGAAACCCCAGTTCCTTCATGTTTCATGGTCAGGGTCATGTTGTTTGATACCAACCGTGCGGAAAATGTTTAAAAGGAGGCTTATTCATTGAGACCCCTTACTGATAAAAGAAAAATGACATCTTTAACCTTTAATTCCTTTGCTGACTTCAAACAAATCTCACACCATTTCTAAACCGGTGGCAAAACTACCCAAAAACCCACCTGTTAAAAACCTTCTGCCACAAAAGTAGGCAGATCAGGTTGCGTTCTACGTGTGAGTGAGCGGAAGGTGAGCACCAGACATAGCGAACAAAAACTAACCTTTCGAGGATCTGAAGTGCTTGCTGGGTGCTGTGAAGCCTCTCGTCCCGTGCACATTCACGGCTGCCACACGGAACTGGTACCACCTGCTCGCTCGGATGTCCGGCAGCCGAACCCGCTCGTCCGTAGTCTGGTGGGGAAAATGTCACACTTACTCTTGTTGTTCTGACATGGCTAGTTGTGCTGTCATCTTCTATGCAACATCGGTTAGTCAGACTGAAGGGTAGGGGATACACTTCTTTAATGCACACCAGTGTCAGCAGGCTGTGTGCAACCACCTCACCTGACTCTGAGCATCATTCTGCACTGCAAAGCATTTACAGCTGCAAACAAAATCATATAACCACCCAATTTTACAGTGCATTGCAGGTCTCTTCTGGAAAAAAGTAACCTTTAGAAAACTGGTGAAGTGTTAAATTCACAAAATTAGTTTTCCATTTATCACAAACTTCACCAGTGTATAGGGCCTAGCTGTTCAGGTGTTGACATTTCAGGGAACTCATTGTCCCAGGTCACAGGACTCTTCTCCAATTCTCAATTCTCAGAGAATTAGGGGTCCAAAATGGCTTCACAAAATCCAGTGCTGTGAGAAGCCGCCTTTTCTGGTTCATAGGAAACACGAAACCCCCAGGTAGTGAATGTAAGCCTTCTTCAGATCTCTGGTACTTATATCAAAAAGACACTCACAGCCCTAACTCTTCCCTGCAGACCTTTCTCAGGTCATAGGAGACGACCTTTTCTCCAACTACACCCACTGAGACTGCTAGCGTCATGAGTTCAATTTCCACCTTCTGTGGGGTGTCCCTTAGCCGCTAAAATATGGAATAAGCATGGATGCACTCTAAACCCTTTCAGTAGGATGTACTTTACGTGCTCTTAGTCTGAGCCCTGCTTTCCTCTATCTTTTTTTTCCCTTTAAAATTTTAAAGAGCTGTCTTCTGCACTGTTTCTTATTTTTCCGAAGGTACAAGCACCAGAACTGAACACAGCCTCCTGGTAACCCCTGAATCACTGCCAAGTACAGAAGACGTAGCATTTTTGTAGAACTCATCAGAAACTCATCCACTTCTTGTGGATTTTACCTTTGCAATTACCTCTCAATTATCCAGTTTTCAATTATTTTAGGATGTCATTTTTATTACGTTTTAATTTAATTCTTTAATCAAAATAACACATGAACCTGAACCAAATGTCCTGTATGTGTCTAAATATACTATACAAACACTACTGAGTATCATTACTGACCAAACATGCAAGCTCATTAAAAATGTAGTGACATCAATTTATTTTCACAAGCTCTGTTTTCTGTAACTTCAAAAATCCACCTTCCTTGTATAGGATTCAGTGTTACTTGCAATGATGCCAAGCACTTCCCAAAAAAGGCACATTTCTGCTTTTTGCTCTTTCCAATCTGTGTAAGAAAGTAGCAGCTGCTGACCTAACTCGGATAGCCGGAACTTGAGGAAGTTGCTTCAGCTCTCCAGCAATGGTATTTTTAGAGCCCTGACCAATAAAATTTGTAGGTGTTATCCTACACTTAATCTCTTCATCTGGTGACAAGCAAAATTTAGGGAAACAGATATTTCGTTTGTGTGTGCATGTAAAGGAAAGAGCCTTTCTAAATTGCACCATAGGCTGCTCTCAGACTGGTAAGTGTTGCAGACTTTGAGCCCCTCACCCCCTGCTACTCAAGAGTCCTTCTCCATTCAGACCACTGTATTTGTCTTTTTAGCTTAAACAGGGGTAACAGTCCCAATGCTTTCACTGTCTGCCTCATCTTCTTTCCTTTTTTCAGCTTTTATGTTACCTGTAGAGTGAATTATCTCGCCCAATGAAGGGGTTCCCCTAGGGAAGAAAGATCCTACCTGAACCAACTTGTACTATTATTTTAATTTTACGGAGCACCCAAATGTGCTAGTTTTTTCCAGCATGCAGGCATACTCAAGAACTTACAGATAAGACACGATAGTGAACTAGAGTAAAATAAACTATATAAACAGAAAAAAACCCCAAGGATATATTCAGGCTACTGCTGCAACTGAGATCAGGGTCAGGATCAATATCTGATTATAATTAACTGGTTACAACACTGTGGGTTTTTAAGAACAGATTTGCTGAATTTAGCTACACGGCAAGCATAATTTGAATAGATTTGACCCCAAACTCCTCAGCTAAGGAATCTTGTTTGTCATTTGCATCAGCCCAGTTATTCTGCTAGGACTGATTAAAAGAAAGGATTTCAGTTGTGTCAGTCTTCCGTGGCAACCGTGAAACACTGTAAGATCAAATAATCTGTCAATCCATATCACCAAAATTATTTTAATTTATGAACATGCCTTGGGCCTATTACTTTCATCATTCATTTTGTTGGCAAAGCTCCTGTTAAATTCAATGGCATGCAGGAGGTGTAACTCCTGCATTATAAACTACATAGCCACCTCTAAGCAACCTTTACATAGATTTAATAAATTTCAAGAAAGAGCTAAATACTACTGAGATACCTTATACTACCTTAATGGTAAATTGATTTTTTTTGTTTAATTGCTTCAGTTAGTTCTCACTACTCAAGTATGTTTGGAGCTGAGACCATAATATTCAGAGTCCTTTCAATATCTGTCTTATATTAATGTAAGCCCACTAAATGGTATGCTGGTAATATTACAGTCATCAATGGACTGTTTCACTGTGTTCATTCCCTTTCTTTCACACTATCAATCCTGGATTCCTTCCTGTAGTGCAAAGGTTTAGCAGAAATAGGAGAGGACAGCCTTACCCTGCTGAGTTCATAGCTCTACACCTGCTTTTGAAACAACGCACAGCAATAAAAGAATTTGAAGTTCAGAGAGTGAGGGGACACCATCCAAGGTATCAGAAGAGCTGAGTTTGTTTCCTCTGATACAGAAGAAACCTGACAGTGCTGCATCCACTACCCTATCAAAGGACAGCAGACCTCCCCTATTTTGAGTGAATGCAATCCCACACAAGGTGGGCATTCTCTAAGAATGCTTACCAAAGCAAGCCCTCTCCTGGGAGATGGAGAAACAAACCTTTACTATACGGGACTGGTGGTTAGCTCCAGCAGGGACTTCTTGCTGTCAAGAGCTGAGAAGCTGTTTGTGATCCTCAGAACCAGAACTTTAGGTGTCTCAGAAACTTCAAGTTTTAAAAAAGATTAGTTGTCCACAGAGTTTAGACAAGGCGAAGCACTAAGGTTTGTCACAATCAAACTAGCAGTGAATACAGCTCCTTATTTCTTTTAATAAAGGAATAAATCAATAAGTAAACTTCATTATTGTCTGCCCATATGTATACATATATGTGTGTGTGTGTGTGTATGTATACACACACACACACACTTGACATCCATTCAACAACACAGACGTGTTCTGTCCGAAAATAATTGACCTGGCGTATTTGAACTAACTTCATTAATTAACGCAATATGATTAACTATCTAAGTTTCCAATGTAAACAGTAATACTCTTCTTTTTAGAAAGCATTAGCACCAAACAGAATTATAAGTGTGTTCACAAGATATACGGTATTCTCATGGGATAGTGCAGCAGGTCCTGCTCAGCTGGTTAAACCTTAAAAAACAGTAGTGTAAGAAACTTGGCATAACCACTTAGGACACTGTACATCATGGCTAACTAGGCTAACTACTATGTTAGTTCCCATAGTTTTTATATTAACCAATGGAAATTAGTCAAATGGTTAGTTATGTCAAGTTTTCCCCAAAACGTGCAGTAAAAAACTAAAGTTAACAAAATCCCTTCTTCCTGAAGTGACAAATAACTCAAATTGTTTTCAATGTGTTTGCTTTCTTTATATACTTGGAGAGTTAAATAAATAATGTATTGACAGGTTGAGCCTTCCTCCTTAAAAAGAAAACATCAAAAAAGACCTGATGACACAATACAATACAAAGCAAACAAATTTATTCAAAATTATTTTTTCAATACCAAGTAAAAATTTATGTGAGACATGAGAAATTACTTGCAAATTAGCTCATGTAAAGGCAATCGAAAACAGCATTTTTTTTAAAAAAGTAAACACCTTAAAATAAAGTTATTGAAAATTAGAACCTCATTTCTTCTTGGACAGATAATAAAAATAGAATATTGGATGAAGAACTGACAAAATATTATGAAATTTCTTATAAGGAGATGCAAACATAACTTTGCACAATTACACTACATATGTGCATAGGCATAGAGAAATTCAGATCCTCACCCACAGCCTTTTTGATCTTTGACTGCTATTTACGTGCTCTCTAGCTTAAGTCACAGAGTAATGAAAGAGCCAGCATCATCTCCCCTGGACTGAGATGCCCCAGGAGTTCTCAGCTGAATGGCTGAGCTGCTCGCAGCCTTTGCCTGTAATTAAGGTCTCATAGCCCAATGTTTTGGAATCATACAAGAAAAAATCCCAGTTATACAGGCAAGAAAAGCCTGGAGGCTGTGCACACAGTCACTTTAGTCAAACTGGATATCCATCCTTGTTGCTGATATTGCAAAATAAATTCTGTTGCATGCAGCCACACTTAACAAATTTGACTGCCTGGTGGGACGTCTAAAACTACAAAAACCATGGAGGTACATTACTCTGTAGAGACAGAAATTCTGATTACTAGCACCCCTCAAGGGTGCCCAGCCTGTACGCCCCACAAGGCATACACAGTTCACAAAGCCAGTCAGGCATCCTGAGGCTTGTTCTGAGCTGACATCCCCAGTGGGGTCCATCATACAATCAAACACGCGTCTCTTGTGATGCAGAAGGGGACAGCGAAGTTCTCAGAAAGATGTCAGTTGGAGGAGGCTTCTCCTGCCACAGAGATTAACTCAGCCCCTTCTGCCTGCGTGTAACAGACCCCCAGGAAAGGCAGCTGTCAGGATTCTTATCACTCTTGCACAGGAACACATTTCTGAAACACTCTCTGCTGTACATCCATTGCAGGAAGGCAGAGGTTCATACATGCTCTACTACTGTGGAGCATATATAGCGCGTGCTTCCAGAAATGTGCATGAGGTCTGTTTCTGGGAAGAGAAAAAGCACAGCAGTGTGCTACCTTTGCAGTCTGAATCCACCAGCCAGAAAAGCTGGGCTTCTACAATCTAGCACATACGTATACATGGCACAATAACAGTGAGGAGTAATTCAGATCTGGCTCATTTTGGCTACATGGTACTTTCCTAGCAGCAAAGGCAGGAGATTGCTTGCTGAATATAGAGAATGCAGATTGAAGACCTGCACCTCAGCTGAGAGATAGTAAATAAGTCACTGCAACTTTATCAGGTTTGGAGGTGTGCACGTTGCCTTGGGCTTGCACAAGCAGGGTTTCACGCCAGGCTCTGCTGCAGGTGACTTTTTCTGAGCAAGACTGTAACATAGTGACAGCCCCCCGTAGCACCACTTTGAAGCTAAGAACTTCACTTCTGAGTGTTCAGTTTCACAAGCTTGATATTATTTTAAGGTAGCTTTTTCCTACACGATCTGAATTGAGAATGAACACAGATTGTCACAGAATTCGAACTCCTTACTTCATTTTGTGGATGGTTCTATTTATTCTCTCTTTCCTTTTTTTCCTAGCTATAATGACATTTTGCAGGTCTTTTCAAAATCAGCATTTTACTTTCCTTGTCAGCAGGGATGAGGGTGAAGCAGTTAAGATAAACGATTGGAACTCTGCCATCCAGGTGGACTGTCAGCATGTTAAAAAACAGATTGAAACTGGGAAGGAACTAAGTGAAAATTTATGCTCTGTTGGCTGCTTCTCATTAAGAAACATTTGCTCATGAATCTTACATTTTCAGCCTGGATTTCACTGAGTGATAAGAGCATGACATCATAGTCTTTTCTGAATTGGGGGGGTAACATCTGAAAAAAACAACTTTACAAAGAATAAAGGTTTTAGTCTTTTTTTCACTCTTTGTTTTATTTTAAAAAATTAAACAGACTTTTCACCAATTGTATTTCTTATTTTTTATAAGACCCAAGCCATGCCTTGGAGACTGTGCACTGAGTCCCACTGACCTCAGAAGGACTATGTCTCATACATGCTTCCTTCAGTGGATTTTGGTATCTAATTCTACATTTTTCAAGAGATTTGTGGCTTTCAGAGACTTTGGAATTCCCATCTGAATAGATCATAAGTATGTGCTTACAAGAAAGTGCCACTCACTGTCCTTATGAAAATCAAGCCTCCAGCTAGTTCTATAGATTTTTATCTATAGAGAGCAAACCCACAAAATAAACTCATTTTGAAAACATAAACCTCTGAGTATTTTTTCTTTTGGGGACAAGGAGACCACTATTTACTTCTTTACTGATATATTCACACATTTTTTATGAAGTCATTTTCAATACATACCAAACGCATTTGATGTTTCTATAACTGAAAAACTGCATGTGAAAATACTGACGTTCGTTTCTCCTGAGTAAATCTAGAAAACGGTTCATTGAGCAGTGAAGTAAGGCCTTGGAGATCTGGATTCTGTTTGCAGCTCTGTTGCGACCTGGAGAGAGACCCTATAAAGGGATCCCTCTGCATGAGCCTCCCCACCTGTAAGTGATCTAACTCTTCTCCAATCTGAAGAGGACCTTTAGATCATGGTCTGGAAGCTAGGGATCCATACTGCTTTACAAAGAACTGACCTGCGCCACAGTTTGCCAGCTAGTAGCATCATCCTCACTTGGATGGATTCCTTGATTCCACCTCCTCTGAACAACATAGATCACAGGCTCAATGGAAATATTGAATTTTGAAGACCACTTCACCTCCAGGTCTCCAGACTGAAGTTCTATGAATTTTAATTCTTTCCGGGGTTTCAGTGGAACACCTGTAATAGGAACATGCAGACAAAAATACGTGAGTAATTTACAAGATACGATTAAACCATATGTAGATGAAGCTGTATAAAAAAATAATTAAAAAGAAAAGGAGATTGTTGGTCAGACAGAAGGAAAAAAGGGGTGAATGGATAGGCTGATGGGCATGGGAGTTTCAGAAGTGTCATAGGTGACCTATGTTATCTCTGCTAACAGTAAAACTTGTTTTTAAAAAATCTTCAAAATTAATTCTTCATTTCATTTAAAAACTAAAGGATCTGAAAGTTGTAACCTAAAACTGATCTCACTGAAAACGCTTTCCAAATATGCTTTGATAACCTGGAGAAAGATCCCTTTGATCCCAAGCAGAATCAGCTACACCTGTTGTTCAGTTTTTCACCTAATCTGTCCTTAAACCCATCTAATGACAGAATTTCCACAGCATCACATAGTAATCCATTCCACTACTTCTCTACCCTTACCATTAGAAAGCTTTCTCACCTTGTTTAGTCTCCTCCACTGCATCTTAAACTCGATACTTGTCCATGATGTTAATGGATTGTGGAGAACAGATTCTTTCTTTCACCTATGGAGGAGCCTTTTATATACTGCAAGACTGTTATCATGCCTCTGAATGTTTTCTTCTTCAGTCTAATAACCACAATGCACTCCATTTTCCTTTTAAATCAGTGTTTCTAGACCTCTGATCATTCTTGCAGTTGTCTCTGGAAACTCTCCCATTCGCCCAAAGCCCTTCTCCAGAGTCAGGCCTAAAACTGGACACAGACTGTGTCTAAGCTCTTACCAGTGTAGACTAGAGAAGCAGGATTATTTCACACATTTTACATTAGTCTGATATACTAAAGAAAGCTGTTTGCCTTCTCCATGGCAGCATCATCTTATTGACTCGCATGCAGCTGTATTGTATGATGTGCCACTCTCCACTCTTCCCTAAAGATCTAGGAAAGGTAATTCCAAGGCATCTTGGAATAGATATGTTATATCTAATGTATATTGTCCAATTACATTTCAGAGACAAAGATGTCTTTCTAAAATTTTACAGTAATTTCTCATTACACAGTGATACTGAAGGACAGTTATTTCTGTTGTTTCTACTGCTGGTAACATCGCCTTTTCGAAAACATCCGCAATAGCTTGAAGGAAAAAACAACTCTTCAGATTTGGCATCTTTTGATTAAAACGACAAATCAAGTGTTAGATACATTTCTCTAGACATCCTTTAGGAACTCATATATTTGAGTGCACAGCATTTTGTCACTTCAGGATATGTGACAAATAAGATTTCTATGCTGACATATAAACCTTGTTAGCAAGTTATTGCATGCACTTTAGTTATTTTGTCATCTCAGTGGGTGTCCACATAAGTCCAGCTCTGTGTGTTGGTTTGATAAATTGTTTCCTACTCAGTCTGCCACAGATGACCGAGTACCAAAATTTCCTTAGGTGAACAAACCACTTTTATATTTTTAGAGGTCTTCTCCTAAATCTGATTATACAATTAGCTATAAGTAAATAAAAATTGATATTGTAGCCCTTGAAGAAACCTAAAATCAACCTGAGGAAAATCCAGTCCTTAAATCTGGTTACCACAGCAGTTTAAACCCTGGATATCCTTCAACAGCCAGCAGTTTTAGTCTAATATAATGAACATCGCAGAACACGTCAGTTCGGATTTCCACATTTGAAAATCCTTCTTTAATTATGATGTACCATAATCCTACAATTTGCATGTTAAGAAAACTTCCATCTGCTTTGCATTAGGGGCAGTTGGATTCACTTGATTGCAAGTATCTCAGCCTCTCCGTTGTTACGTAATTGCGTGCAGATGGAGCGCAGCAGCACAAACAACCAGAGCACAGCACAAGTGCATTTTAAAATACTTTTGTAGAACCGGCACCATCAATTTCATATCCAGATGTGTAGATCCAATCACTCTTCAATGTGCTTTTTATTATGTAAATGGTCAGCCTTTTCATCGTGCTGGAACAAATTAGTCCTCTGAAGTCTGCAGTGCTTAACTGAAGAATTCAAATTACTGACTGCTGTATGTGTGCAATACCAGAGCCCAGGAAAAATGTTTCTAAAGGTGTCTTTCAGATGGCACATGCATCTCCGTGCCATGAAAAATAAATGCTTACTGGTCCATCATAAGAATCTGTATCTTTAATGTCAGTTCCCCAGGAATTCAAAAAGTTTCCATGGAAGGGTTTTGGACAGTAAAGGGTACATTCATGGCGTCAGTACGATTGTAAACACAGTTGTTCAAAGACTCAGAGATGCACACCTTTAAAACTGTACACTATTTTTTTAATACAAAACTATTTTTCTTTAAGCGTGAAAAGAGTCTGTAAACTGTGGATGACCATCTGGTTCCTGCTATCTTATTATTGTCATACCATCATACCCTTTAAAATGTCATAATCTTCTTGTCACAATTTACCTTGCCCAGATCTGCAGTTTGCTCTGCTGTATGGATTGCTCCTTTACACATTTCAGACAAAATTAGTGTCCTGGTTTCGGCTGGGATAGAGTTCATTTTCTTTCTAGTAGCTGGTACAGCGCTGTGTTTTGGATTTGGGACGAGAATAATGTTGATAACACACCGATGGTTTAGTTGTTGCTAAGCAGTCAAGGACTTTTCAGCTTCTCATACTGGGCTGCCAACAAGAAGGCTGGAGGTGCACAAGAAGCTGGGAGGGGGCACAGCCAGGACAGCTGACCCAAACTGGCCAAAGGGATATTCCATACCATGCGACATCATGCTCAGCACATAAACTGGGGGGAGTTGGCCGGGGGCAGTGACCGCTGCTCGGGGACTGGCTGGGCATCGGTCGGTTGGTGGTGAACAATTGTTTTTCATTTGTATCACTTGTCTTTCTTGGGTTTTATTTCTCTCTCTTTTTGTTATTTTCCTTTTCATTACATTATTATTATTATTAATTTCAATTATTAAACTGATCTTATCTCAACCCACAAGTGTTCTCTCTTACCCTTCTGATTCTCTCCCCCATCCCAACGGTGAGGGGGAGGTGAGCGAGCGGCTGTGTGGTGCTTGGTTGCCGGCTGGGGCTAAACGACAATTAGTTAGGCTGGTTTAGACAGCACGAACCCTAAATCTTTGTTAAAAAGGGGTCCTGGAAAGTTAACACAAGTAGGTGTATCATCACATCTCAGAGACTTCTGAACAGGAAAAGGTGATGGGTAATTTCTTCAGCTGTCACCAGCTGAGTGTAGAAAAAGATACACGTCCTTGTCCTTACTTGGGGATGCACACATGCACGTTAGACAAAGCAAACCTGATCAAGCATTTTCGATCCCTTTCTCTTCCTTTTTTTCTGCATTTTTAAACTGTTTTACTTCTAAGCAAAGATATTGCCCCCATTTCTATCTCTGAAGTACCAAATCTACTTTAGGCACTTACTGTTATTTATAACATCATTATGTCCATACAGACAAAAAAATGAGGTAGGCCATGGAGAAGGGACACTGTCTGAAGTCCTTCACTAGTTGACACAATGTAAAGGAGGTAGATGAGGCAGATGATAGAAGAGTAGGAGAGAACATTTAATAACTCCAGTAAAGGGAAATAAAAATGTGACGACTATGTAACTGATTAGTAATACTCCCAACAGAGATAAAAAAATGTAATGATAATGGACAGTTTGAAGATTATAGCGAATGCAAGCCAATAAACAATTAGGATAACAAGTAACCGGACTTGTTATGTTCATTCAACAACATTTGCAATATATGACTGATGCAAGTGTACTTACATTAATATTCTTTTAGGATTGGGATTTAGCACTTAGTACTAGAGGGCAAATCCAGTTTGTAAATCCAGCAAATCAGATGGGTATTTTATATCTGCTGCTGTAACTAATCTCCAGAGTTTGATCAACAGTGAAACTACAGGAACTTCTGTAGACTCTTAATTTCAATCTGAGCTCATTTTCTAGCTCTGAGTGCTGTCAAAATGATAAGTACTAAACTTATTCACTAGATCTTAGTCATGCTTGCAGAGTTTGCTCTTCCTTAGTGACAGGAAGGTCATTTACCCCTGGAGGAAATGAATAGCAAGCCTGTTCCACTTCTGTTTGTCCTTTGTTGCAGAAAGGCAGGTTGAAGAGGCTAATTAGCTGAATTCATCAGCTGAGAAGGCAGTACAGCATTGGGCTTGCCCTTCCTCTGCAAGACATATATGCTTTTACAAGCAAGCACCTCCTGCAGATAGGTGATAAGATGTTAGAGAAGGTTAGTTCTCTTCCTATATAATTAAGCTGAACAGCAGTAGACTTTCCAGTGTGCAGCTATACAACGTATCATATCCTGTCATACCGCGTGTCCTCTCCAAAAGCATGTCATCTTATTTCATTTGTTTGTTTGTTTGCTTGTTTGTTTTGTTTTTACCTTTTCCAGCTGTTGAATTTACTGGAATGCTTTGTAGTTGTGGTACGGAGCCTGATCATGTAAATGATTACATATACAATACGAATGCCACTTTATCGCTCTGGTCATTTGTCTCAAGAAGACGAAAGAAATAACTAAGTGATCCATTTTAATAATTTTCATTTTGAAAGGTGCTGTGTGTAAGAGTGTATTAATTCCTTATAGTTTTAAAGGGGCTGCTCTGAAGTATCTTGGAAGCAAGAGATTTTCCCTTCTGCACTGGAAATCTGGATCACATATTGCCTGCTGTTCAAAATACTTTGAGTACTATCTTCATCAGTTTTATGCTTACTCAACCTCTATGACTTCTAGGTCAAATTTTCTCAATTTAATATAAGTAAATAAGACAGTGCTTCCTGATGGTCCATCCTGTACACTCAAAGACAGGATTCAAAAGTCAAGGTGCATTATTTCTGACATACATTCTCATCACTAGGGACATTCAAAAAGATGCATCAACATTTCAGTTAAAGCAATGAACTTAAAAATAAATGCACCTTCTCCTTCACATATTTTACCATTTTTCCATCCACAGATGGAAATAAGTCTGGATTCGGACCTAGGCCTGGAGCTTAGTTCATAGTTCTGCTGATTAGGCTCTCCACAGAGAGCCCATGCTATCAGAAGAATAACTGATTAATATGTATTTTTTATCACTGAAGTAAGGAGAATGGATTTCTAACAAAGCATTCCAACTCTGTGGAACAAGAAAATGCTTTTCATAAATGCTCATTGTTCTGTGTTAGGAGCATATCTTCAGAATATTTCCATGGTAAAAAGCTTTTTTTAATTCCAACAAATTAAAATCTGGAGTTTGTCTAAGCAAATAATTTCTTAGTCTGTATGTTCTTGCTGATGGATGTCAAGGAAAACCTTTTTTCACAGAATCTCAGGACTCAAATCAATTAAAAATTTTTGAGTAAGATTGTCTTAGATCTAAAGAATGAATCAATATATGTGTGGATATAATCATCTTCCACTATTTTGTTCTTAGGTCATTAAAAACACCGTTGCCAAATATACTGCATTGATTTGTTCTTTTACCTGATTATCTCACACCTCTTTGGTAGTCCTACCTGCTTGGCTTATAAACATAAATGTTATTTGTGATTAATAGGACTCGAACTATTTATCATTAAATATTTTCCTGCTGCATTCTCTCTCATCTGCATCAAATTAAGTGAGATTTCACCTAAATTGGCAAGTTTGTTCTGCTTAAGATTATTCATAATAGCCACATGTTTACATTCCACAGATTTCCAGACATGGGCTTCACAAGGGGAAAAAAATTCAGAAACTTGAGCAACATTTGTCTCTGGCTTTCCACCCTTTCTGTGTCCAGCCAAATCTCTACAGGCACCTCTCCTTTTTCTTCCCATCCATACAAACTCCTATGAAATGAAAGTCCTGGTTTTCTAGGAGACTTTATTATGGCCTGAAGTTATTAGCCCAGTTTGAGTACATATTAATAATCTCTACCTTTGTACAGATTTTTTGGAACTTGGCACGTATGACCGCATCCATTGGAACAGCATTTCTTCACTCCAGAACATTCACTATCAGCTTCACAGCTTTCAACACAGGCAGCTGCAAAACCACTGGCCTTCTCAGGTGCTGGGCAGTCCCCTTGCTTCACAGACAGGATGTACTTAAGGAATTCACAGCTAGTTAGGCATTCATAATTCTTCTTGGGGAAAAGCGGCTAAAGGGAAAACAAAAGAATTGTATAAAGTTTTCAACAGGAAAAAAAAAAAAAAAAAGAAAAAATGTTGTACATTTTCCAAGACCTCCTAAAGGAAAATTCAGATTTTCAGCTTTTGCAAGACTATCCCTGAAGGTTTATATATTCAAGCCACTTCTAAAAAAGCATTCCAAGTACAGAATGATGAATTCCCTCAAGTAAGACCACCATCTTTAATGGAATAAAGTTGTTTATATCTGCCAGCTTTCCCTTGTTTTCCTCACATTGGCTGGCTACAAAGTTGCTCAATGACAGATTAAAAACATTCCCAAAACAAAGGGGAAGCAATGGTCAGACAGTCTTTTTTTTGGACTACCCCACATTCCTCCCTTTGTACTTCATAACACTTTACCCACAGTATCTGATGCAATGCCATTCTAGATAAATAAGTGAAATCTTGTTTCATTATACTGTTTGAACTGAGTTGCCTAAGAAGTTTTTGCAGCATCTTTATGCTCTTGCCAGAATATTAGTAATTGTATAACTCTTCATGGAACTGGAACTAAATTTCTGATAAAATGATCAGTAAAAAATACAGATTAAAATAAGCCTTAAATATATTTATTAAAGATCAAAGTAAATGCTATTTCTTTGAGAAATCAAGTCCTAGATATATGAGAGGTTGCTTCAACGCATAGACATTTTATAGCATGTGTACTACTCAGAGATTTGCAAGGTTCACTGGGAACTGTATTAAAAATAGCATCTAGCACCCTGGGGAGAACATTGTGTGTGACATGGCGATTTCATCTCCTCTTTTATCTGGTGCTTTATTTAGTTTTGTGCAAAAACACCTAAAGTAATTCCCTCAAAGTGATTCCTGGAACTGTAGATGGGCAACCCATGTAACCGGGGTTATCTATTGTCTGCCTTTCTATCTCAGAGCAACCAAAAACCTTCCACTCTGACAGATCTGATTTACAGATTCCTAAGCCTACACAGGAATTATAACCCACTCTCTATCCAACTATTCATGTAACTTCTGCAACTTCCTTCCATATTCAAATGTTCTACTTTCTTATTTTTACTGTTCTCATATTTCTGGCAAAATAAGAAAGACTTCACTATTATGGAGGCCCAGGTGTTTCACAGACTATGTGGTAGTTTATTCTCCAAAGTCACTGTGGTCTGAGAATGTGCCACTATGTTACCTCACCCACCTTGTCCTACAGAACAGTCCAGAATTTTTGAATCAGGATTTTAAGGATTCATTTGGATGTTACGGCTGAACCAGCCTAAAGGCTGCCAAAATGAGAGGTCCTTATATCTCCTCCAGACCCCAGTGGTCCTTGGACACACACTCCTGCTGTTCCCCCATTGGAATGCACCTGATCCCATGGTTAGCCAGTTAAGAAGCTAAACCAGCAAGAAACTGAATTTATGGAAGAAAAGGAGTCAGGTAAACTCTCCTTTTCTTCTTCACACATAAGGTTCCTTTAACATTAGTACACTCATTCAGTAGATAAGAAGTAACATACCAAGCAGGGACCTTGAGAAACACAAAGCTAAATTGTTGCTTCCAGATTTTTTACAAAATACAAAAAGATTGAAAACACTCTCAGAGGAAAACAGCCTCGTTTAATTCAGTCAAACAATGTCTATGGAGCATTCATGAGTCTGAGAGAAAGGAAAGTGGTCCCATGCTTTTGTGTGTGTGTGTGTGTGAAGCTAATTTCAAATCCTAAAACATCACAAATTTGCAGCTACTTAATTAAAAACTTTATAGCTCCCTGAGGCATAATACGTCCTCAAGGCTTCTCCTCCTCACCCTATTTCACAGCTCATTTTTCAGTTAGCTGCTAAATGTGCTGCTCTTCATTATGGGCCTTTGAAGTTCTAAATTTAGCTTCAACCACAAAACACTAATCAAAGCGGGATGCTCACTGTTTTTAACTACAATAGAACAGTGTTCTACAAATGTTTTCCTTCTAAACCGATTTTATACTTATTTTCACCCATATCTAGAAACATACAGCCTGAGTGAGAAGTGATATACAAGAATGACATAAATTAGATCCACTAAAACTGCTTTATTACACTACCCTCGAGTTTTGTATTATTAATCCGGGTTAAAGAACTCTTACAAGGATTGGTTTTAACAGTGATGAGGGAGGAGTTAAATCAGTGTATCAGTGAGATCAATATATCAATTAAGGTCACTTCTATTTTTTTAGAGGAAAAGCTGAAAATCTTCATAGATTTTCATACACTATGAAACATACACTTTCATAGACTTTAATAAAGTTGTATCTTTATATTGATTAAGTTATAATAAAGCAACTTTCTATTGAGATTATATTTCCACTTTGTACTAAAAACCACTTAAGAACTGACTTCCACCAACTCAGAAGAGCCATGTTTTAAATCAAACAAAACCATCTCCTTTTTTGTACTAGTTTAACTGATCTAGGTTTGCTTATTCACAAGGTTATTCTGAAACATGATTCAGAAACAGTTTTTCAAAGACTTGTTTCTGAATAATTATGTATTTTGATAGTAGTCTTCTGAAGTAGGAGTCCACAATCCAGTTACTCCTGGAGAGATATTCTTTTAGAAATCAGATTGACTTTCACATACAGGAAAGCCATCTTTTCTAGCTACCCTGCACAAGGATTTTCACACAATGACATTTTATCTTTTAAACAAAGACAGTCTTTCGTACACGTGGCCAGAAAAGATGGAAAGGCATGTGGTAGAAATAGCATCTTACAGGAGGGATTTAACAGCACCTTCTGAGAGAAGCTATATAAGTGTGGCTGGATCAAGTCTTAAAACTTCAGGTTGAGATAAATCATTTGGTCAGAAAAAAAAAAATCTTTTTTTTTAAACTCAAACTTGATATGGCTAAATTGTTATATGCGTATCCATTCAAATGAAGGCGAATGCTGTAAAAATCCCATGTTTGTTAGCTGTCTCCTTGAAGCTAATTATTTAAGTGAGAGAGACAGCTAGAACAAAGTGAGAAAGAGTGCCCTCAGGCTGACGTACCTCACAGAAGCTTTGGCAATGGTTTTTCTTCAGGTCCCAGGACTCTTTGCAGGGCTCCAGGCACTAGGAAGAATCAGGAGGCAGAGAAGTGTCAGGAAGAGAAAGAAATAAACAACCACAAATGACCCCATTTCTTCTCCAGTTGTTTGTTTGGCCCATAGGAAGTTAATAATGGGCTTTAAAAATCCACTTCTCCTGAGGATAAGATTGTGTCATTCAGTCATGGTGTCAGAGCAAGGTCATGCCAAGCTATGGTTAGATTACAAGAAATATTTTCAGTATTTCTTACTGTACAAGGCAATTGCCTTACTTGTTTATATGCCATCCTATTTTCCGTCTTACTGAATCTAGGTCCTAATACCATTTAACACCGTGTCACTGGATCACAGAGACAATGTCAAAAGCAGTACTCTAAACTACAGAAAGTTAAATCTTCTCCTCACTGACCAGCCTAAAGATTAGACGGGAGCATTGCCTTCCCAAGCGAGAAACTATTTCGTCAAGCTATGGAGTAAACTCAGCAGAGGTTTAACCACTATTCCTGTACAAATAGACAATGTTCACTGGTCTGTTAGCAAAACCACTTTATTTCAAGTACCATATTATCATTTCTTCACCTTCAACCTCTACTGCAATGGTTATACAGATAGTTGAGATTCAAACTCTGCAAACCAGAGTCAAGCTTCACAGCATAGCGTAAAGAAAGATCACACTATTAAAAACATTCACAACAGCTGAAACATAAATTTAGATTCACATCCAGAAACCTTTTCTCTTCCTTTGTTAGACATATGGTCTTGGAAAATATTGGCATTGTTGGGAGTTAATAACACCTACTCCTTCTGGTAATAGTGGAAAGATACTTATTGCACCAAAAAGAAAGGCCTTTGACATGCAATCTAGCATTTATATAATTTGTTTGTCTTATACATAGTATTAGATTGGATCCATATACATTTATGCTATTCAAAACCAAGCATGAATACATATAGGCTGTATCTCAGCTGTCCACCTGTATCATTAATGTACTAAAAAAATCAACATTTTAAAAGTTAAGCATTTTTCTTACTAGCAACAAAGCCTGAAAAATATAATAAAACCATTAGTCACAGAGGTTACATATTTCAGGAATGAAAAATACCACTCAAACATTTTATCTATATATATTTTGGTATTTTAGACTCAATTTCTAGCTCTTCAAAATTCACAATGTGCTGTATACAGAGTAATTAGAAGGATACATTATAAAATGTCACTGAAGTCAGTAAGTTTAATTAATTCCAGTGTTGTTCCTCCTGTGGTATAGTTACTGCACATGTGAGCCCAATTCCACTGTCATGCCAATTTTACAACTCTCCTAATTGTCTGATGGATTTAGCCCCAAATTACAGAGGTATAAATTGTGTAAAGACAAAATGGGCAATATTTTGACCACACTGGGACTTTGTCAATGATCCCTAAGGCTGCCAGGATTTCCAAATCCTTGCCTTCTCTGAATTCTTGCTTCACTGCTGCACAGCACACAGAGCATATCTAAACCAGCACACCCACAACCTTGAGATGACAACTAGGACCAAGGTCATGCTGACTGGACCACCTTCCTTGCAGGCTCTAGAGCAAAACAGTTGGTACTCCTGGAAGGAAATACCAAGATGCTGTATGCTTCAGAGGGTCTGTTCAAAGCGTTTGTACCAGGATGTCTTTACCTGTAATGTAAGTAGGCTCCAGCACTTGATGCCTTGTCTGGCTGCCGCTCTGTCTCAATAATCACTCAGGACAGCCCACCTTCAGTTGAGCCCCAGCATCTCCTGCCACTAGGGCAGGCAGAGACGATGGGCATCTCAACTCAGACACTTCAAAGGAAAGATGGACAAAATGAACCAGGACTGAGCAATACCCTGCAATCCAACTGCTCTCAGAATACTCCAAGGAAAACAGATGATGTAGCAAGACCTAAGGCCTCCATCATAAGCTTTATAGGCTCTGATTAGAGTACACAGCTCTTACCTATACAAAAACAAAAAAATCTTCCTACTCCTGCTGTATGAGGAGTCCTCAGAACATTGGGACTCTAGCACCATGGGGACTAACATTGGGACTGCTCGGCAATGGAGCCTAGCACCATGGGCTGCTGCAGAAACCGATTGCCTAGCTTTAGTGGAGCTATACCATTCTGTAGGCTGGAGAAAAACTGCTAGTAGACAGAAATGTTGCCAATAACTTCGCACGAGAAGAGTTTTGGACTGTCCTTCTAAAAAGGTAGTTATTTAGCTTACAATAACAAAGATGACAGTACCTCACAAACACTGAGGTTTGTGCATTTATCCTTTTAGCTACTCTGTTATGAGGTTTCCCTAAAGTGGGAAGCTGGAAAAGCTGGAAGCTTGGATCCAGGTCTCACCTTTGAGTCCTTGACTTAAACTGTAAATTAGCTGAGATCTTGAGATCCGCCCCACTGTCTGGTGAGCTTTATCCTCTGAACGGCAATAATCGCAGGTAGAGAGAGACCTTTTTCCCCCCGTGAAGTCTCTCCTGATGTTTTTTATATGGAGAGGGAAATGTGTTCCAGATCCAATTTGTTACATACACGCTAGCTCTGAAGAAGGGCTATTGTGTACATAAATTTGTCTTTTTCCAGACATCTAAGCTTTCCAATAAACTCTCTGTCCTCATAAGCTTTAGACTGCTTGATTCTGTTAAACTTTCTCATCCCATTTAGATGTGTCACTCTGAGCTGTATCTTTTATCTGCAAAGGGTTGTGGTTTTTTTCTCATCTTTGGCATGCTTTGCTACGAATGTGCATCAAGATGAGTCTACTGAAGAACATATATTTTGCAGTGCTCTGCACAGTACTGTAGTAAAACATTTCTCCTTCCCCTATGGATCTCCCCCATTTTTAGTCCATCTAGCCAAGGAAAGCACCAAGTTGAAAATTCTCTCAAGAAAAAGCAGAATCAGGCCTTACATCGACAGCAGCTGAAGGATTTCTGACAGGTATCGTTCCGTGCATAATAAAAATTAAAATCAAGAAAATGTGAGTCAGAACTAGTGGCAATAACATCTGTTTTCTTAAATCCAAGTCTTCAGAGAACAAAAAAAAAGCATACATCTTAAAATTTAAAATTTGGATAAGACATTTATAATAATATCAGTGCAACTCAGCAAAGGCCTGACCCAAAGCTCCCCCAGACCAACAGGAGTTATTTCACTGCTGTTTAGCTTAGTCTTGATATCTGAAAGGAAAGCATACAGCATTTCTCACCAATAAGAAGAGTTTCAAGGAAATACCTAAAACACCCATGAGAAAACTATTCCCACCCAGCAGGTAAACATATCCAGGTTTTCTGGATTCGTGTAAATGTGTGTGCCTGTTAAAAGGATACTGAAATCCTCTATCCAGGATAAGGAGGAACCTAGGCCAAGCAGCAGCTGGCAGCTGGTTTTGGCTCTATTTTATGTAATAAAAAAACCCTTGCAGACAGTACCACCCGCCCTCAGAAGCTAAGCTTAGGTATGTAGATGGCAGGAGGGCAGCGGCACAGGAAGCGTCCTGGCAGTCCATTTGGCAGATGCCACTGGTCCCTTGGAGCCACGGCTGACTGCTGCCCCGGCATCACCATAAAGGCTGCGCTACTGCTGGGGCGGGAAGAGATATGAAACACAGTGTTGAACCAGTCGTTACGGGCCGGTGGCACTCTTCAGAAGATGGTGGGTGTTAATCACACTGGCCTTGCTAAATTGAGTCCTCCTAAAGCACCTGTTTCACCATCTCCTGTGGTTAAATCTGGAAGTTGTAGGCTTGCTTTCTTCATCCAGACTGCTGCAGAGTTGTTATTCAGTACTAAACAATTGCATCAAAAGCCAAAAGGAGTGCTAATAGAAAGCACCCCAGCATTTGTCATCCTTCAAAATTTGTGTGTGTGGGTACGTATGCACACACACAGAGGTATAAATATATATTATCAGACACTACTATAGATCTGTTAATATTCAGACTGTATAAAATTAGGAACAAGGGCAAAGTACTGTTTCATTCAAGGAAGAAGGATGACTATTGCTTTAACAAAACAACTATTTTGGGTTTGGTTTTTTTTATTTCATTTTTTAAAAAATTGCAGTTAAGGGCCCTGTTAGAGAAGTCTTTTTTGTTCTAATTTTTAAACTATAAATAAAGCAACTATGAGATTAGCATATGATGCATGCCATTTACATTAGTTAGTAAAGGGATTTTCAAAATAGTCCACCAACACTTTTTCTTAGGAAATGTTGCTTGTGACCCAAATGGGAGAGAGTTACACCACACAGCAATTTTGAAAGTCTAATGAATTGCAAAACATCATTTAAGTATTGAGATAAATATTTATTCAAATACTGTATATTTATTCAAATATTACATTTAAATTAAATAGCTGAATATGACATATTTATAAATATTTAAACAGCAAACAATTATTTATTTCAGAGTAGAAGAGTCTACCCACAGTATTTTTGTCTAATAAGGCTTCTTCCTTCACCAAAGTGGAACCAAGTCCTATGCAAACTGTTGTAAAAAGAAAGGAATCAAAGTTATAGCTGGAATATAATTATTCTTTTCATTAACATTCACCATTCCAGTTACTCACAGCAGCAACGTCAGAAATTAATGATTTAGGTTTACAATATATATTTAAGTGTTTTGTTGTCCTAAGGTATTTGATTAAATGGAACTTAGATGGTTAAAAAAAAAGGAAAAAAACACCTTTCAGTGTACAGTCTCCTAAGAACCTGCCATGTCATGAAGACAAGTACGTGAAAAAAGCGTGTACTCACTATCAGGCACTGAGTAGAAAACATTCTTGGGGTCAGGAATTTAACCAAAGTCAAAGGAGAATATAGTGTTTATCACTCTTAGAGAGAATCATTTTGTGATGGATACACTTAAATAAACAACTGCGCCCAAAGGAACCATGAGAAAAGTCATTTTCAATCTGTAAATCTTAGCACAGTGGCAGTAAACACAATGCAAAACATAAACAGGCAGCAAGAGAGAAATAATTGATTTTGAAATTTATTTTTATCTACA